TAGGCTTTTCACTTTTTAAAAAACATCTAGCAGTTGTCGCTGCTGGACGTGGAAAGGACACTTTACAAGTTATTTTCCCACCACGAGCAAAGACCTGTAGGGTTACCACACTTCCCGCTCAAGCGTTGGTGCAGGACTGGAGTGTGGCCCTGGGAGCCACAGCCGGGGCTATAGCTGTAGAGGTGCCCGGGGCAGTACGTCCGGGCTGATGGAGACAGCTTTGTGGGCCAGTCTGCCTTACGTTCTGGGGCTGTAGAAAGAACACACTGGGAAGCAGAAGGACGCAGGAAACACACCCTGTTTATTGGCCAAACGTGGCCCCTGCCTGTCCCCTCAGAACCTCGACGACCACGTCTGTAAAATACGGCCCCTTACGTGTCTGCAAGGCGCAGCCTTCAGTGGTGGGGTCTTTCCCTGCACCTTCTACAAATCTGAGAGCTGCTTGGACATGACGGGAGGCACAGCATTTCCAAATTTTGTGAAGGGCAGCTCTTTCTGAAGAATGTATACAAATCTCACGGTACTTCCTGGCAAAGAACCTATGTTTTGTTTTGTTTTGTTTTGTTTTTTTTTTTGCATGAGCCAAGACATCAGTGATTCTCACTTATTTTGACGGACAAGTTTTGTCTGTTACAGACCATTACCCCCGGCAGCTTGTGCCTCGTCCTTCATATTGGTGTGCTAGAAATTCCACTAGATGGACCCAAATATCCATTCAAACGCAGTGTCTTTTCTACAAAGACCTGATCATGTTTGCTTGGAGACCTTGTAACTGCAAAAACAGGCAAACAAAACAGTTGCGATGGGTTCCGGTGGCTTCGATGTTGAAGGGAGAAAGTGGTTTCTCCCTTCCTCACAGATGGGGGGGGTGGGGTGCTGGGGGGTCACGGCTGAGTTTGGACCCGGAGCCCGGCGCTCCCCTGCCTGCCTGGGTCTCCGCAGAACGGAGCTGGTGAGGCCACGTGGGTTTGAAGTGTGGGGGCTGAGGCGCGGGTTTATGTCCTGCTTCTGCCGCTAAGCAAGCTGTGACGTGACAGGTGTTGTGACGGCGGATCATCGTCACCTAAGATCCGCTCCTAGATCTCTGTGCTATTTCCTGTTTAAACAAAATTGAAAATATTTCCTATTTTAAAAACTCGAGGGGTGCCTGGGGGGCTCAGTCGGTTAAGCGTCTGATTCTTGATCTCAGCTCAGGTCATGATCTTGTGCTTTGTGAGTTCGAGCCCCGCATCGGGCTCCACACTGTCAGTGCAGGCCCTGCTTGGGATTCTCTCTCTCCCTCTCTCTTTGCCCTGCCCCCACTTGCTCTCTCTCTCTCTCTCAAAAAAAAAAAATCTTAAAGAATTTAAAATATGTCCTATTTGAAATATTTAAAATATTTCCTATTAGGGACTCCTGGGTGGCTCCGTTGGTTAAGCGTCCGACTTTGGCTTAGGTCATGATCTCGTGGTTCGTGGGTTCGAGCCCCGTGTTGGCTCTGTGCTGACAGCTTGGGGCCTGGAACTTGTTTCGGATTCTGTGTCTCCCTCTCTCCCTGCCCCTCCCCCACTCACACTCTGTCTCTCTCTCTCTCTCAAACATAAGTAAACATCAAAAAAATTAAAAATATTTCCTATTACACACCAATGAGCACATTATAAGGTGTGTTGAGTAGTAGGTTTATGCCTTTAACTTCTTCTCTTATTTCAAAGTTTTTTAAAAAATGTAACTATCTTTTTGTGGCCCGAAAAATCTGTGCCCATGGCCATATATAGCTCTAAAAGTTCTATGTTCAAAGTGAGTGCCCCCCCTTGTATCCTTGTAAGACAGGCTGGGAGATCCAGGCTTTGGCAAGCATATGTATCCTACAAATACCTCTGTGTATCCTTTTTCTCCCCACATGATGCATCTTGGAGGTGGTTCCATAGGAGCCCATGTGGATAAGCTGTGCTTTAAAACAATGGCTGCACAACATTCCAAATTTCAGACGTTCCCTCATCTAACCACGCCTGGCTTTTGCCCAGTGCTCAGGGGCGCCTGCCTGTCCGTCACCTCTCCATGGCAGACTCTCCCCGGAAACCGTTCTTGGGCACTTAGGTGGGGTCGGTCATCTGTCGGGTGGCGGATGGACCGTCTGATCCGTGAAACCGGGCAAAGCAAGGGGTCTAGTTCATTCTTCAGTTTGGGAGATGTGTTCCATCCCGCATGCCCTCTGAACTTGTAATTTCCTAATTTTTACGTTGGAAATAACACTTACTTCCCTTCCTTGTCTTTAAAAATTACATTCTTATTATAAATAAATGTGGGAACTTCCAAGAGTGTGAAGAATAAAATAAACATCCCTTATCTCACTCCTCGGACAACCGCCACTGGCCTGAAGAACGCTTACCTTCAGTGTTCTCTTTGTGCCTTCTGTCGTGTTTTTTACAGCATCCGTTATAGTTGACCATTTCCCCCCGTAAATGCAAATCCTGCATAAACAATTTTAAACTGCTGCACAATTTATTATCGTATGGCTGTGCGACGATTTACGTAACATTCCTGGGTACCTGGACATGCAGGTTGGTTTTATATTTTCGATTCTATACATAATCCTATGGGAAACATCTTTGCATGTAAATCTGTTTCGTTTCCATGGGCTGGATTTCACAAAGTGGGAAGAATGGGTCAATAGTTATTGATCACAGACGTCTCATCAGTCTGTGTTACTGACTCGCCCCTGAGGAAGACTGTGCACACTTTTAGCTGCAGCCACAGTGTATGTGTGTGTGTCTTAGGTCTGCAAGAGATGCCAAAATTTGGGGGGGGGGGCGGACACAATTCAGTTCATAAGAGTTCCTATTTCCCCACACTCAGGTAAAGAGTGTACGTTAAATATCTTTAAAGATTTAAGCAAAAACACAACATGACCCTGTTTAAACATTTATTTCCTGTATTATTATTAGTGACCCATGTTTGGAAAGAATTCTTTTGGCATAAGGAAAACCAATGGATGGAAACATTGTAGCAAATCTATTGTGGGCGTAATATCACATGAATGCATTGTAATATAACTTGTGCAGAACATTCTTTTCTAGGGTTATTTCGGGGCAATATTTTAAATATGGGAGAAGGGGGTTTCTGCATTGATTGGAAGCCCCTTGGTACAGCGCATTAGCAAAGAAAGTGGATTCTCTGTATTTTTTGCACAGATTAAAGTTTATATTTGATCTGAAAAGACAATGCATTCATCCAGTTTTAAATTATTTGCATTACAGAAAAACAGTAACAATGAAGCAACAGCAACCACAAATAATTATGTAAAAAATTGAAAACTAGAATTGTAAAATTGAGCACCTTCGTGTTAAACACTATTCATCAGGGCGCCTGGGTGGCTCAGTCGGTTAAGCGTCCGACTT